GGAAACTATGTAATTTACTCAAGGTTTCACACTCACTAATGGCAGATCAAGTATTTGAAACCAGACATTCTGGCTTCAGGTTTTGTATTTTAAACCATTACTCTATATCTAGTTCTCTGTAGAATAAACATATTGTTCACAGAAAGAGTTGTGGAGCTTTTAAAAAGTAAATTAAGGCACAGAAGTGCTGAAGATGGGGGACAGAAATATACAGTAAGGAATTCTCAGACTTCCAACCATATATTAATATAGTAAGTGAGAATAATTCTATTGATTAGTTTGACAGGTACTAATACAATTTAAGTTCCTATTAATGCCCAAAATGGGGCTTGGATATGGAAAATGATAGATGACTTTTAAAATAATTTCTGTTTTAATTAGTTATATATGACAGTATGTCCTTTGACACATCATGTATAATGAAATATAATTTCACATTCTTCTGGTTATACATGATGTAGAATCCCACCAATTGTGTAATTTTATATGTACATAGGGTAATAATGATAGATGATTTTTTAATACAGTGTTTGCCATATTTAAAATGGTTAAGCTGTAGAATACAAATCAACCAAAGGGTAGGGTTGTTGTTTTTTTTTTTTAACTATTGCAAATACAAAATTCTTTGACTGTATTATCTCAAATAATCCTGAAATTCTATCTCACAGAACCTGCCCTCTAAACCAGCAAATTATAACCTTTCTTACTATCTAGCTTCTCATACTGTGTTATATATATTCCTTAGGAGTTGGGACTAAGTCCTATACTTTTTACTCTGACTGTAGTATAAGTGGCCCTCCATAAATATCTATTGTGTGAATTAATGAATAAAACAAATAGAAAAAACAACAGGAAATGATTAATGATATTCATATCTTGCATATATTAAAGAACCCTAGAGTGGCAGAGAGGGAGGGAAGGAGGAGAAAAGTGCTGGGGAGTGATATTGGTCAAGTTATATTGTTTAATTGTGTGCACAAACAAATATGTAACAACAAATATCTCCATCAACATGTACTACTATGATACACCAATAAAAAATGTGGAAAATATTTTTTAAATGACCAACCCATGTATGTAAAGCATGAATGGTTTTCACAGATAAAATATTGAATGGGAAAAGTCAAAGCCAAAATGAACTATAGAATTTCATTTATATAAAGTACAAAGACAAGTAAACCAAATATATACTATTTGAACTCAGAAATAAGTGTAGTAAATATTTTTTCTAAATATCAATTGACATTGTTTTTTGGGGAAAAAAACTATGGAAAAACAGACCTTCATTCTTACACTTATTTAAAATTATTGACTTGAAAACACTATCACTGACCTGATATACATATAAATCCGGAAGAGAAAAAGGCTTCGTTGTATGAAGACAAGTTGTCAGTCTGGGCGTAGGCAGCATACAGGGACATGTGTGAACAGGCACATTCCACATAATCTGCAGTGTCCTCAACCACTTTGCAAAACTGACTGTCAGACAACCAGCTGGAACAAAAAACAATAGTCACTATTCCTCTTTTGTCAGTACTTAAGATGTTGAAATGTCTTTTGAAGAAAAATTACTTGCTGAACTTAAGTGTTCTTTACTCAAGACCTAAGCAGACCACGTTTTGAAGAAGGAACACCAAAGGGAACATCTTGTCCAGGATGTGAGCCAACAAATTCCACCAGACATCTTAAGAAACAGTCTAAATACAACCACACCTGCCACAGCATTCCCAGTACCAAAGAAGCTGGTCTTCCAACAGTAATACCAGTCCCTGCCTATAAATGTAAGACAGACCCACTCTTCTCTATCACTCTAAAATCCTAAGAGATAACATAGCCATGATATGTGTAGTTCTTGCCCTTCCATATGATTTCACAAGTTCTTGTATTTTGAACCACATAGTTTACTTGTATGCTTTTCTAAGATTCCTTCCTCACCTTTTTTTTTTTAAAAAAATTTTGAGCCGATTATATGTTTTCCAATGTACTTCAAATGCTTCACTCTATAAATTTTGGCTCATTTTGCATTCCCAGAGATTACAGGTTTATGCTCCCTTCCCTTTTAATGCATCTTGAGTCTATTACTTTTCTAAGGACATATAACTTCATAACCTCAACTGTGGATTTGAGCTTGAAACTTTTCATTTGGGCTTGAAACCTTCATTTCTAATTATACATTGAGGACTGCAGACTATGTAATGATGCTCCTTGACATATGATGGGGTTAACTCCTGATAAACCCATCATAAGTCTACAGTATTACAAGCTACAACTACACTTAACCTATACAACCTCCTGCATATCATAGCTTAGCTACACAGTGCACCCTCATAATCATGCAGCTGACCAGGAGCCGTGGCTTAGTGTTGCAGCTCAGCATCCTGAGACAGTATCATGGCACATACCATCCATAAGGAAAAAGAGCAAAATTCAAAATTTGAGTATGAATTCTACTGAATGTATATCACTTCTGCTCTATTCTAAAATAGAAGAATACTAAGTTGAACCATCTTAAGCCAGGGACCATCTGCATTAGGTTTGAGATATGCCTTCAGGCATAGGAATTTCACTTCAAAATGTTTTTTTCACAGAAAAAGAAAGAGACTAACCAAAATTTTGCTGTTTTAGCAGACAGTCGGTTGCCCAACAAAGACATTAAATTTAGTTATAATTTTAGCTTTTGTAGCTAAAACTCAATAATATACACAATCCTAGACCTTCTCGGCCAGCATTGCCTGGCCCTGCACCATTGATTGAGATCTGAGTGATAGTAACTACTCAGAAACTTGTGACCTTAGGTCAAGAGAAAAGAAATAATTGCTTTTCTTCCCATTCCTATACCTGGCTTTAATCCTAAAATATATCCAACATGTTTGGACTAG